GGTTTATCTTCGCCTTCAGGGTTTCCAACTTGGGATTGGAGATAATCTTTCTTACTTTCGTGATAACACTTCAACCCATCCCAGTAAGCCCATTGAGTATCTGTATCAACATTCATCTTGATAACACCATAACTTACAGCTTCCTTGATCTCGGCTTTAACAGATCCACTACCACCATGAAATACGAAAAACACGGGTTTATCATCCTTACAGTTTAATTTCGCGCGCACATGCTCTTGATGTTCTTTCAACAAACCTGGAGACAATTTTACGTTTCCAGGTTTATAAACACCATGTACGTTTCCAAAAGCAGCGGCAATAGTAAACATTTTACTGATCTTGCTCAGCTCTCTGTACACATCCCAGATGTCCTCAGGTTGTGTGTATAAAGATGAATTATGAACATCAGTGTTGTCAACGCCATCCTCTTCTCCACCAGTAATACCAATTTCCATTTCAAGGAAAAGATTGATCTCGGCCATTTTTTTTAAATATTCTTTACAAGTAGAAATGTTTTTTTCCTTTGAGAGTTCAGAAAGATCAAGCATGTGAGAACTAAAGAGAGGTTCACCGTGTTGTTTAAAATACTCGATATCAGCTTCCAACATTCCGTCAAACCATGGCAAAAGCTTTTCAGCACAATGATCAGAATGTAGCACGACGGGACTAGTTAAAATTAGATAAAATAATCAAATTTATCTCTGAATGAATTACTTCAATATAATTTGCATCATTAAAAATTTAGCTTACATTCCATAATCTTTTGCGATCGTCCTGATATGATGTGCAGCAGAGATAGCACCAATAATGCTAGCACGCTGACCATCATTGCTCAAACCTTTACCCGCGTAGAAAGCAGAGCCACCTTGAGAAAGTTGGATAATAATTGGTGCTTTAATATCGCGAGCAGCTTCCAAAGTAGCGTTAATAGTTGAAGAGGAAGTACAATTCACCGCTGGAATAGCGAAACCATTTTTTTTGGCATACTCAAACAGTTTGAAAACGTTTTCACCAGTAATAACACCAGCAGGGAGGTTGAGTTCAGAGAAGATACCCATGATTCACGCAAACAGAGAGAGGGGAAGGGAGGATGAAAATTCACACGCCATGATTATATAGTAGATTTATAGTTTATGATGCAATCATCCATAGGCTCATTCTTAATCTCCAAGTTACACCAACTTAAAAGATGTTATCACTTTTTTTTTTTTTTTATACAAGATTTACTACGTACCTCCTAGTGTTGTACATTTGACTGTCCCGAGCCTTTTTGCGTCCCACTAATTTCTTATACTGTTTGAACTTCCCAAAACTAATATGCATGGTGAGACTACATTTAAAGGTAACACGACGATCTATCACGTGAGTAATGGACTATTTAAAGTACTAAAGATAGCCAAATTATATATTTCTAAATTAAAAATATGCACTATATTAGAAATGATGTAAATTATATGAAATATTGGGGTGCACCATATACCCCATAGGAAGACCTTCGTATGATTGGCTGTTTAAGTCTATTTAATTTTACATTATTTATACAGTTTAAAGTATCAAAATCATTTTTGGTTTTAGAGAAGTTAACATAATAGCGACTTCTTAAGATAGATAGAATTAGGTTATTACCATGCTAACTTCTCTAAAACAAAAAGGGATTTTGATTATTTTTAATAGTGGA